AAAACAGTTGGATATGGTGACATGCCTGTAATCCTAGCACTTGGGAGATGGAGGCAGGAGGAGGCAAGTTCAAAGCTAGACTGGGCTACACAGCAAGACCCTATCAGAAAACACAAACAAAAACCCCATAGACAAACAGCATCTCAATATATTCTATTAATCTAGGCCAAATGGAAGCACCCCAGAAAGCACTCATGTCCTAGGAGTACCTTTCCCAGGCTTTCCTCATCCATCCTCCCCAAGTCCATGTGGCATCAGTGAAGGGCTGCCTGCACTCTGAGAATCACCTTTCATCTCTTAAAGTTAACTCGGAGTAGGCCTTGATTCCTGGGCTTTTATTGCGTGGGTGGGGGGCTGTTGTGTGCTGGATATTTGTATTTCCATTTTCTCCAGCATCTAGTATTCACTCTGTGAAAACACAGGGCATGTAAAGGCAGGCAGGCAGCCTCAGGACATTTGTGGCCATGTAGGAGTCTAGAGTAACCTCAAAGTCCCTGTTCTTGGGGCCCTGGCCAGTTCTAGCAGATCTGGCATGCCCACTTTTGGAGCATTCTTAGGTCCCTGGCTCCTCTGTATGAGGTAAGAGAACTAAGCCAACATTAGACACAAAGCTGAGATAGGAGGAGAGCAGAGTTACGGGGACAAGGGAGTATGGTTTTGACTGACACAATCTACATAATTTTTCTTATTTGATTTTCAATTCCTTGGTGGAAATTTCCAAAAGCAAACTTTCAGAAATGGTCTAAGCACTACCAGCACCACCACAGTAAGTACTTGGTTTCCCAAGGGTATTGTTAAAAGGGTAATAATATATTGATTCTATAAGTTATATATTTTTAAAAGCACTAACATATTTTAAAGTACATAAAAATACTGCTTGAACAATGCTAATAAACTATGAATATAAAATACCGTGTAGAGGGTGGAGTTGAGATGGATGCACTCTTCATTTTGTAGTCAGAGGAGCAAGTTCAGTACTGCGTTCTTCTGCATAGCCACCATTAAGAACAGGTTGGGGACATTTGGTCAGGTGTCAAAAGAAACAGAATGAACAGCATGTGTTGTTCACAGCCTTAGTCTCTGGACACAGGGTGAGGCAGAACAGCCAACCCACCTCATCTGTGCACAGAGGCAGCACAGCATGGCAGAGTGGGACTATGAAGTTCGAAGCACCCAGTTGCATCCTGGCTTCCCCTCAGAGTTGAATGATGCTCTCTGCAAATTACCTAATTCCTCTGAGGGCCAATCACCCCATCCATAAACACCGAGTGAAGTGCCTGGTAAACTGCTTTGGGAAGCTTCAGCTGTCATGTTGGCTTCAGTTGTCAACTTGACACCCCTGGGAAGAGGGACCCTCAATTGGGGAATTTCCTCTAGCAGACTGGCCTGTGGGCATGTCTGTGAGGCATTTTCTTGATTGTTGAGGGATGTGGGAGGGCCCAGCTCACTGTGGGTGGTGCTACCGACCCCTGGGCAGGTGGTTCTAGGTTGTACAAGAAAGCAGGCTGAGGTCAGGCTAGAGGAGCAAGCCAGTAAGCAGTGTTCCTCTGTGGTCTCTGCTTCAGCTCCTACCTGACTTCCCTCAAAAGGGACTTGTGCCTTGAAAGTATAAAAAATAAACCCTTTTCCCCCCAAGTTGGTTTTGGTCAGTGTTTTATGACAGCACTAAACCAAACTAGGACATCAGCTCTTCTGTAAGCATTTATTGTTTTGTGGTATTCTTGTTTTGTCTTGTTTTGTTTTGTTTTTTCAAACTGAGGGTGGAACTTACTATGGAGATGAGTTTAGTGGGTTGCAACTGGCATATTAAACAAAAACCATCAGAATGTGCCATAATGCTTAACATTTTTTCATGGGTATATGTTCAATTTTCATATAAATACATTTTTCTATGGGATACACCAAAAAGTCCGTCATTGCTCCACAGAGAAATTCTCAGATTATCACTCAAAAAGGTGCTTAGGAGTACTGCTACCACTGAAATGAGTCCCTACAAATAAGACCTTAAGTCCAGGTGGTCCTTTTTAACTGGTTGCCATAAAAAAAAAGACATAAATCATAGAGAAGATAGATTTAACTTGATATTGTAGGGCATTATATTCTATTTTAGGATCACTTCTATAATATTTATCCTGTAATATTTATACTTATAATCACTGTATCATTTATAGTTGATTAAACACATAGCAATTTCCACAAAAAGTTGGATATTAGGTTCTATCATGAGGAAATGAGATACAATTTCTAAATAACCATAAAAATTTTAAAGAGCATGATTACAAACTCGTCAGATAGACAGCAATCATGCTCAGATGCAGAGGAGCTCAGAAGGTGGGCAAATGTGACCAGTGATAGTCATGTATATAGAGATTAGAAATGCATGTGAAAACGTCTCAATGTCAATTGCCTTGGAATAAAAAAAAAAAACAAGTGTCTTCTTGGGGTTCCTCAGGTTGAGGTGGGGAATGAGAGCAAATCATTCTGGAGGAACGCAAGGGAAAATGGCTTTAGATACTTGGGTGACGATAGAATTTATTCTCATAATTGTTTTAATAGCTTTTGTATAATCCTCATTGCTATTATGAGATATAAAATGTATTTATCAAATCTGTAATCATTATGCCAAAAAATCTGAATTACTGTAATATTTTGTATATTGTTAAAACTGTAACTTTAATTGTAAAAAAAAATTTTAAATAAAAAAAAACAGAAAAAAAAGAGAAAAAAATTTAAAGAGCTATAACTTGCTTAAGTATGAAGATTGCTAGAGTGAACACTGTCCAATGCTGATAGGTTTGAGTACCTGCAATAGGTCCCACACAGGCTCAGTAAAGATGTGACATCCCAGAAGACATGTGCTTTAAATACAAGCTTTTTCTCACCTGGTTCTTATAAGTTATTTGTGCTGTGGTTGAGATGGCACACTGACTGCATGGCCCACCTGGGGTTGGCAAAATGGAATATTAGATATGATGAAGAGGAGTAGAACATTGGAGATTACAGAATTAAATGACACTGCTAAGCCTTATAATTTCAGCTGAGTAGGCAGGACTATTTTTGTCACATTCACTTTGTGACTGTGGTTTAAGAATCTTTTTTTTTTTTTAATATTTTATGGGCCAGGTGTGGTGGCACACACCTTTAATCCCAGGACTTGGGAGGCAGAGGCAAGTGGATCTTTGTGAGTTCGAGGCCAGCCTGGTCTACATAGTGAGTTCCAGGACAGCTGGGGCTACAAGGAGATTGTGTCTCAAAAAAGACAAAAAAAATTTTTATTATTTTTATTTTATGTGTATGAGTGTATTGCCTGTGTGTATGTAAGTGCACCCTTGTCGTGCAATGCTGCAAAGGTCGGAAGAGGGCTTTGGATTCCCCTGGAACTGGAGTTAAGGATGGTTTGTAGCCACCATGTAGGTGCTGGGAATCGAACCTGGGTCCTCTGCAAGAGCAGTCAGTGCTCTTAACCACTGAGTCATCTCTCCAGAATCCTGTTTTAAATAAAATTTGGATTAATGCTGACCCTTACTCATGTCTGAAGTGTTAAAGTGGTAGTAAGAATCAGAACAGATAAAAAGATGGTATTAAAAAATAATTATTCAAACTATATGATGTCCAGTAGCAGACACTGAACCAGAATCTGACACCTATTCAAAGCATTTCTTTTTTGGTATTAAAGACATAAGTAAGAAGATAGCAAATACTTGCTACTTCTCAATGATTAAATAAGACACAGTGCTTTGTTTCATAGGAGTTCACTGGTAAAATTTAAAAAGTGTAAAAGAGAAATCTCTTTAGACACAGGGGAAAGGTGGCAATCAATAAAAGTTATTAAACATAAACTAAGCAAGAGGAACAGTGATAAATGAAGCCGGCGGTCTAGTGAACCTGAGCCGGCTGCATTCTCTGGAGTACAGGTGCCCATTCCCCGCTCAGGAAAGAGTAAGGAGTAAGGCAGCATGTACTTCCTTCCTATCAGTGAGTGGAAGGTGCCAGCTGCCTTCAGGCTGAATGCTCTTCTCTAAATACAAGACCTTTCTGTCTGAGACAGACCTGGGGTTGGGCTGGACCATGCTTGCTGTCCATGTCAAGCACGGGATTAGCACCACAAATCTTTCTTTGGGTCTGAGTCTTGCGTTGGCCCTTGCCGTCACCTAGAACATGAGAAGAGTTAAGTTCTTGGGAAGGAACAGCAGCTGTGAAAAGTGAAGGAAAACAAGTGATAAGAGCCCAGGAAAGGGCAGCAGTAACAGAAGTGAGGTAGAAAGCTCCTTCTTAGCTTCCCCATGGGCCATCTGAAAAGACTAAGGAGCTGAGGCCCTTGAAGCAGGTGTGTCAGCCCCTTGAAGTTCAGAAGTGTCCCAGGATATGGTCTTGCACATCCCACTCTCCTGAATAATACTGGAAATACTTGGAAATCTTTTTCTTCAGTTTACAGATTACAGGTAGGGGTGATTAGAAATGAGGAACAATATAAAAAGGCAGATTATGAGAAAAGACCTCATTGGTGGACTTCACTCTATAAACCAAAGACCTTTTCCTTACTGTAAAGGAGGGAAAACGGGCACAAAGTCTTGGAGATGTTGGGAGACGAGCTGAGGCGTGGGCTTGGTGGCTTGCTTACTAAGTCTAGCATGTGAGAGTTTTGAGCTCTTTTTATTTAGAGAGGTGGCACAAAGAATTCAGAAAAGAAGCATATCAATGAGATTTTAAGAAGAAATTGGGCTTCTCCTTCCATTTTATATAATTTCCTTCACCAGAAAATATGGATGGATCCAAGTGCAATTAAGTTCCGCCCCCCTCATCCCCCACAGGTAAACTCCATTAAGTAGTCTACCTCTGCCTCCTGTTGGGAGTAACAGCCCTACCTGACAGAAGGACTCCTGAACTGGAGTTTCCTTCTCCCTGCAGGCCCAAATAATCTACAGATACACATCTTAGATCCTTAGAGTTACAGGTTCAGTTTTCACATTTCCAGGCAGAAAATCTGCTTTTCGGCAGTCTTTAAACTTGACCTGGTAGACATACACTATCAGCCCAGGCTCCACCATCTCTAACATCTCCATCAACACCCACCGAACAAATACATCCACTTATCGTGGTTCAACACTACACAGGCATGGAGAACCACTGTCCTGACATACTGTGTTCCAACAGCTGAGCGTTCAACAGCAGCAAGGTGCTCGTCAGGATAGATGCATTGGCACCAATTGGAAGTTTGGTCTTTAACTGCATTTTTTGTCACTTTGGCTGGGGAGATCTGGACAGCTGGAAGTGAGCTTCTCCATCATTTTCTGCTTCCTTCTCTGTATCAATTTTCCACCTGTGAAGCCCAACACCCCACCACCAAGTGCAGCTGCAATTCCTGCCACTTTGAAGCCTGCGAGGAGGCCAATCGGACCCCCCACCACTCCACCGATGAGTGCACCTGCCACAGGCAGGGCTGCCAGCTTGTATTTTGCAGCCTGTAAAAAAAAAATTCAATTTAGAAATTGAGTTGAGAACATCTGCCTGCGGTGATGTGCGTTTTCCTCTCATTACTCCTGGCAATGCCTCCTTAACTGGGTACATAATTAACCTTAGAGATTATTCTTTTGAGGGGAGAGAGAAAGTATTCCTTAGGTACTGTGATTGCTCCAGATCTAATTCAGGGGGAGCTACAGAGAGGACTGCTACAAATTGATTTGACTTGCAAAAAACGATCAATCCACTATCTTGCTGGCTTATTTAAACAGTTTCAGCAGCCACTGACTCCCACCAAGGCTTTGATGCTACACAGAGGTTACTCTATACAAGCACCTGGGCTGAAATCCACATTGTATGGAAAACAGATGGCCCACTCCATGTGCACTGTCACAGGCTTATACTTTTGCTCTGCTTGGATTAATGGACCCCTCTTTCTTCTCCCTGGGCTTCTGCAGATATTCCCTCATACAACTAAATGCCCTACCTAGAGTGAGGCCACAATTTATTCTCTTGGGTAAAAAAGACAAAACAAAACACACAACCTCTACTGATAGAACGAATCTTGGAGTAGAATATTACAACCATTGATTTCTTGCACTACCTATGTGTCATTTCTTCCTTATTTCCTTAATTGCTGGTTCCCTCAACACTGAAGAGAGCAGATCAATTGGGTTAATACTAGAGATTCCTGGGAGCCAGAGTACCATTGATTTTTCAGCAGGAGCAGAATCTTACCTTCCCCAAGTTTTTGGTTCCCTCTTCAACATTCACAGCAGCACTGTTGACATGGTCTGCAATGCTGTCAATCTTCTCCTGCTGAGACTAGATGCAAAGGAATTATGAGTGAGCGGTCCTGCTGTGGAGCAGGAGGAAGCCAACACACACTATTTTAATTCCTGTAATCATGCCCCGGGCACTGCAGCCTTGCAGTCTTAATAGTGGTTCATTAATAGCATCTGATAAACCATGTCCAAAGTACAAATTCACTTTCATGAAAGGGGGGGGGGGATTTAATTATAGGTAATAAAAGGGTGGCACCTTCATAGCAGAAATCATCTCACACTGAAATTCACTCAGACATACAAACATATTATTCTTTAAATGAACCTACTTTGCAGGAGGAAGAAAAAATCCAAATAAGTACTTACATGTCATTTGGGTTTGATAGAAAAAAAAAAAGGAAAACAATTTCAAGCAACAACAACAACAACAAAAACCCTTCCATAACTTATCTTCTTTGGAGATTCTGTTTAAATCAAATTTACTTTGGAAGTAAAATGCCCTTGGTCCAATAAACAGACATTGTTTTGTAATAGGAATGAGACTACAACATGTAAGATCTCCCACGAAGTCCTTGCACTTGAGAAATGTTACAGTGATGAAGGTAAATTAATTATCTTTATAATTAAGTATAATAGGGTATAAAATTGTGACAAGTTAAAATACTTCTGATCAACGATATTAACATGGTAGTCCACATGAAACAGCAGCACCTGTGCTGCGTGATCACATCCTGGGGTCCCTGGGGGAGGACTAGTGTGGCTTGGGACTGCCATTCTTTTCCTAGGGTTTCTCAAGTGGCTGCTGAGCTCCACTCCAACACTTCTACAACAAGCACACTGTCCTTGCCCCAGGAACAGGATCTCACTAAGATCAACTTTCCTTAGTTAGAACTTAAATACAACAGTGTGCACCCATTTTAATGGCAGTGTATGAAAATTTCGGACAAATGTATGAACCTATGTGATCACTACCACCATCGGCATTTTTTTTCATTTTTGAATTTATAGGAAAAAAATAGAAAATCTTTCATTCCAGGAAAATGCCATCTTATGCAATGAGTGTGGAGTAATTTCATAACTGGAGTTCTGAAGTATTTGACTGTCCTTGCATCATTGCCTATTCATTTATATCGAGACATACAGAAATAATGCTCTTCTAATCAACATTCCATGTGAGAACATAAGGTTCAAACAACTCGGCTCGCCCCACACCCCAGCTGTTTTCCATTAACATTATTAATATTCCTTCCCTGCCCAACATATACCTTCACACTGTCAGACCTTTTATGGTGGCCCTTCATTCCAGAATTCTCTGGCACCATCTTGACATCCCTAACAATTCCTTTAAAAAAGTCTTTTTTCAGTTTTCTTTTGAACCTGTCTGTCAAACAAGTACAGCCAAGGCTCTCAAACTTGAGTGTACACTATAACCACCTGCAGAGTTTCTGAAAACACACTGCTGGGCCCAGCCACAGAATTTCTGATACTACAGTCCTGAAGCACAGCCCGAGAATTTGCCGTCCAAGCTGCCATTTCTCATACTTTATTTTTAGTCACATGGATTTGTCTGTATGTGTGTGGGGTGGTCTGTGCCTATGTGAGTGCAGGTGACCATGAAATCCAGAACACGGTGTTGGATCCTGTGGTGCTGGAGTTAGAGGTAGTTGCAAACCACCCAGTGTGGATGCTAGGACCAAACTTGGTCCTCTGCAATGCTCTGCAAGAGCAGTACAATGTTCTTAACCACTGAGCCATCCCTCCGGCCTTTTATTTCTCACATGTTAATGTCATTGTTATTCAGGGTAAGATTAGAGCATAACATGTGGCCAGATATTCTGGGTTCAAATCCTAGCAATACCCTAGGGTCAACTACTCTCATCTACTACATGAGGATAATGACACTTCCACCTCATAGAGTTTAAAGGAGGAAACAATGAGATATCTGCAAAGCACAAGGGGAAGATAGAAGCACTCCTGACCTGCCCAAGGAAGTGCGAGCCCTCATTTTTCCATCAAAAAATACAGCAAGCTTTTTTCCTATGATGCTTGAAAACTCTAGAGTTCTCAAATATTAGAACTCACTTAGCATTCACTATCTGAATTTTAATTTTTCTGACAGTAAAGTTTCTAAGTCAGCTTACTTTTTCTGAGCCACAGAAGCAAAAGTGCTAGCACTAATACTATCCAACCTGCCTGGACTTCCAACACCTTAGCATTGTTTCTATCTGGGACACCCAACACTTCCACTCTTGCCTGCAAGAGGCTAGGCAAGCAGACAGTCAGTGCAGTAAAACTCTGTTATCAACGTCACATCTTGGGAGGCTGAAGGTAAGGCCCCTGCTAGGGCTGTTGCCAGGCCTGCACTCCAAAGTCATCTCAACGCTGTGATTTTTAAGTGAAAGTAGATGGTTAAAATAACTATTTTTCCCCAGAAAAATATTTTGGAATTGTAGAATAAGTGACAAGGAAAAGCCTGTCCTAGGATTATTTATTATTTTAACTGTGGTGCATACATCACTGCAACTACCAGCCCATGATGAGCCCATCTGCCCTGGAGGGTGGGTAGCTGGCATCTGTAGGTGCTAGAGACCTCAGGAAGCCTGCTTAGCTATGGGAATGGGACAAGGCAGAGGGCAGAGAGCCCCTAATGTGGAATGAACAGGCATCCTTCAATTGTGCAGATCTAGCTGCTTCCTCCCCTTCATTTGGTTTCAATCCTCAAACTGCCCATAGTTTTGAATTCTGCTTCGTGAATAAGGAGGACCTGATGATACCCACACTAATTATAATTTGGCACCAAGTTGGTAGGACAGGACTGTCATTCATAATCAGGAGAAGACAAGCTACATTGCATTTAGAGCTAAGTCTTTGACTATCTGGGCCAACCCACATATATACAACCTACCACAGTCTATGAAGCCAAGCTCCTTACTACAACAGTGACTTGGGGCTGGGGCTTCCTTGCCTCTCTCTACCTACTTTCCCCTTTTGCTTCTGATGCACAGACTTACCACACTGGATAGTCCTTACCCTCCCTGCCTGCCTAGCATTTTACTCTTTGTCACTTTTAAGAGTTCTTAGCATCCCTGTAACAATGGGCTAAGCCATTTATAAGGTATATTACAGTGTTTATCAAGCTACATACAAATCCCTTTTTAAAGAAAAAAAAAATCTCAAAACTCAAAAATATGCCTATCAACTTCATCTTAAAGAACCTTAAGAGATAAATAATGCTTATATTGTATAAAAAACCAAAGGGAACTATATTAGTTCAAAGTCCTACTGAAAAATACATATAAAATAAATATACAAGTATATTTATTTGTCAAGACTACATAACAAAACACAGTGCCAGGCAGGAGAAACCGCCCTTTTAGTTGTTGGCCAGGGTAGTCCAAAAGACTCCCACAGGCTATTGCCACAGCCCTGATTGCCACCAAGAACTTGAAAGTAAGACCCTATTGCTGAAGACAGGCCATATCTCAGACTTGGAGCTGGAAGTGACCAGGAAACCTCCTCCTGAAGACCATCTCTCATGGTATCAGAGGACACGATACAAGCTGCCAAGGGAGAAAACCAATCAATGGTCCCACCCAGCTATGAAGCCTAATAAACAGCAATGACTGGCCCAGCAAATTATTGCTATTGGTATAGCACTGGCACTTTTATCTTGTGGGTAATTGACAGCTATTTGATTGGAATTAAGGCCTGCTCAATAGGAGGGAATTCATGTGTACTACTGTAAACATAGCCAAATACACATGGCTGGAGAGGTCATAGATCCTAGAGAAAAACCTACTTTTGCCACATCCCTTGACCAACATAATTTCTTACTTTATTCTAAATATGTATCCTCATATTTACAGACAAGTGCACATTTCACCCCTCATCAAAGAAGCTTCTTTTGCAACAGATGTAAACTATTACAGAATTCTAGAACTGGTCAAATACAGAGACTAGTGTCTGTGAAATGCTTAAGTGACACATCTTCAGTGCAGTCTCTACACTTAGGATGAATTCATCTCTCTTCTCACCAGAGAAGTTTCCTTGTGCAGCAGATGGTGATAAACACAGAGACCCACAATTAGCCAATGTGCAGAGAATAGGAGGCTTCAGAGTACTTATCCCTGAATAGGATACCTATTTCAAATCTCTACCTCCCAAGGCTCAGAGATCATTGTAGAAGAGGGAGGCAGAAAGACAGATGACCACAAGGAAACAGAGTCTTCTAGACAGCTGGTCATATGAGCTCACAGCAATGGTAACAGCATGTACAAGTTCTATGCAAGCTCAAATCTGATACAATTGCAGCACAGACATGGGGAATCCCAACCCAAGCTAAGGAACTTTTGGCAACTGATGGCTGCTGGGAGGGGGAAAGATAGTATCTTACAGGGATGGGACTCTTGGTGGGCCCATCGCATGTGCGTGTGTGCGTGTGTGTGTGTGTGTGTGTGTGTGTGTATGACAGTGGGGGGAGGTGTTGAGAGTGGAGTGGAGTGAATCTAAACACCAAAACTATATTGTATGAAAATCACAAAAATTAAATATAAAAAAAGAAACACTGAACAGAGTCCCCCTAATGGCCTGAAAGTAACTGAATCCTAATGAGCAGTTATAGGGGTACCTAAGATTCTAGAGAAAATGTGAATTATTAATAGTTATTGAGAAGAATACAAGTTGGGCAGATGAATTAAAAACTAACAAGGAAGTTGGGCATGGTGATGCATGCATGCCTTCAATCCTGGCACTCAGGAGGCAGAGGTAGGTGGATCATTGTGAGAGAGAGGTCAGCCTGGTCTACACAGCAAGTTCCAGGCCAGCTGGGGCTACAAGGAGAGCCTGTCCAAAAAAAAAAAATTAAGAGGAGATTTTTTCCCCCATGAATGCTTGCTGTGGACATTTATAGGCCTAGTGTCTTCTATATCAAATAACAGTATTCACTCAACAAGTTCACCCTCCAATCCATTTACATCAACAACGATGCTCTTCCTTAGACAGGCTGTTGTGCAGTCTTTTTAGTGGGCTTGGAAAACTCTGAGCTTAAGACATTTCTCTTTCTTCTTCTCTAAGTTCCAGGCTTAATTGTATACAACTAGAGACACAGAAAAGCCCAGAACCAAATACAAGACTTTGATATAAAGGCAGAGCACAGGATGACATTGGCCTAGAGTATGTAATAAGCAGGGAAGAGAAGCAGGAATGTCGCAGTGGGAAAGGGACTGAAAGAGCACCAATGTCTGAAGGTAATAATGCCAGCCACAAAGGTAGAAGTCTGTGTACAGAGGCAAGAGAAAGATGAATGCAGGAGCAGCTGGGGTTGGTGGGAGGGAAGGCTGGGGGTCACAGACGTCATCTCATGTCATCCTCCATCAATTTTGTAAAGCTTACTGTTGTCAAATAACATTCTGAAGGGCAAAGAGGCAACACAAGGAGGAATCTGATCGAATCCATTGCAGCCCAGTTCTTATATATCCAAAGCAAAACTGGATTTCACAAGCCACAGGGGTAACAGGTAAAAGTCGAAACAGGACTGGCAGTGAGGGTGGCATGCTATCCAGTGACTGGCCCAGAGTTCTTTAAATTCTCCCTCACTAGAAAGAAGTAGGATTGCTTATAAGGGGCACTTGAGCCTTATGGCTAAAGGCAAATGGAACATGCTACCCTGTAGACATTAATATATTAACATTTACTAGACCACACCTTAATATCTCATAGTCTGTGAGTCCTTTTTATGGTAAAGTATGTATAAACTTAACATTTTTAATCACTTCCAAGCGTACAATTTCATGGCAGTAAGTACATTCACAATGTAAACAGCCATTACCACTGTCCTACAAGTTTTTTTTTTAAGTCTATGCTCTATTCTTTACTGAGTTTAGTATAGAGCCATGTATACCACAAGTGTTCCATGGGTGCATGGTTAATTAGCCTAGACACTATCATGCCCATGTGATGACAATAAGAGGATGTGGTCACTCTACTTATGTTCCCTGCTTATTCTGTACATAAATGGAGCATCTGTGAATGCTTGTCTGTGTGGTCACAAGAACTCAGTCACCCTGGGAATAACAATCGAAGTCCTCCTTTGAGCTTCTGCCAAACAGCATTCTGCTTCATGTCCTTGCAGAGACTATTATAAATAGGGCATTTGTATAGACCTATGGCTAGAGCCAGAATCTTCCTGTATGAAGCTTCCTTAGACTGGAGTTAAGAGTTGCTTATGTAATGTAACTGAACATCCCATTATTAATTGGCCACAAACTATTTTTCTGTTCATGTGCCTACCCAACTGGGAGGAAAATGTATTTATCTTGAGAAGAACTAGGTACATGTTTAGTCTGTTTTTTAAATCAACTTTATTGAGGAATAATTTACATATACTGAACACATTTTTAAGTGTATAGATTGATAGCTTTGGCAAATCTAACCATATACATATACATATAGACTTTCTAGACTGCATTACAGTCAGAGATTATTAGCTACAATAACTGAATATCTTGATTGTAAGCAACACATATTTTGGGGATTTCTTTATCATTCCCTGTTATATATGGATACAGTAATACATTGTAAGATAGCTACTATCAGAGATCTGTAACATTTTGCTTCTTTTGGCTTGGAGACATCAGGAATAATCAAAACAACTTACTGTGTTCAGTTTTAGCCATTACATTTCAAGAAGATATCCATAAAATAAAACATAAGAAGAATAGGGACCAATACTGAAATCTAAAAATCATGGTGTGGGGCTGGATAGATGGCTCAGAGGTTAAGAGCACTGGCTGCACTCGCAGAGGACTCTGGTTCAGTTCCCAGCACCCACATGGTAGTTAGTGACCATCTGTAAACCCAGTTCCAGGGGATTAGACTCCATCTTCTGGCCTCTGTGGGCACTGCACACAGGGTACACTTACATAATAAATAAGTAACTAATTAAAAGTCATGGTGTAGGAAGAACACAAAACAATCAAGGATTCCTAAGAAATGATATACATACTTGGGTAGGGTAAGCTAAATAAGTACAATATTTGCCTTAAAGTCTTGAAAACCTTTTATATTGAAAGAAGACAAACTTGTTTGATATGTGATTCTAGAGGGCAAAATTACCCAAGAGAAATGACAAGACAGAGCTGCTATCACCTCCCGCCACCTTCAAAAGGAACAGTTGAGGTATCAAGTATTCCTGCACTGTAATGTTTTTAAAAAAGAGGTTAAACTATTTGAGAAGTTTGGAGCAAGAATATAGGGTTAGGTTAGTTGACCTCTTGAGTTCTTTTCTATTCCAACTCTAAGATGGTGTGCTCTAAGAACTTCTACCTTAAAGCCAGGTCTCAGGGGAGCCATACCTCAGAGAATGTCAACTCTTCAAATTATGGTTTGATCAAGAACAAAGAACCTTGGGTTCTGGAGCAATGGCTCTGCAGTTAAGAGCACTGGCTATTCTTGCAGAGGACACAGATTTGGTTCCCAGCACCCACATGGCAGCTCACAACTGTTCATAGCTCCAATTCCAGGGGATCCAATGTCCTCATTTAGCCTCCATGGACATTGCATGCACGGGTGCACTTGCATACTCACAGGAAAAACACTCACATATATAAAATAATAAATATTTTTTTAAAAAAACAAAGAACCAAACCTAGACAGAAGCACAAACAAAAATAGCTTTGTGCCTGCAAGGACATACATATATTTACATTCATGTGCTCATACACCTTACCTTCACACAATTCCGAGTGACAAAAAATAAGACCAGTCTAGAAAAATGATAGAAAAATCTATCTTTCCTACCAAAACTACAATGTGCTCCCTACTCTATGTTAACAGATTCATTCAGGACTAATAGCACCAAATAAAAGTGTAATGTTCCCTGTCTTTGATTGTATCTTACTTCAATTTCTGCTAAGTCCACCCTGTAACAACCTTCCAAGCATCATTTCTCTTTATACTGGTATTACCACTGCTACCTACAGGCTAAATACTTGCAGCTGATTCCTAACTAATCATCCTGCCCATGACCTTTTCTTCACTTTTATTCAGAAAACTTACAGTAGTCTTTCTAAAGCACAGACTGAATCACAGGACTTTAACTTGCTCAAAAATCTACACTGGCTCCTTAATGCCTACAAAGTGATCCGAAATTCTAAAGAACTAAAGTATGACATTCAATAGCAGCGTAGTCTGGCCCATACCCTCCTTCCTTGCCTATGGTTCCACAGGCTTTGGTTGACAGCAGTACTCAGCATTCCTGGACAGTCCAGACACCTCTCCATGTCGTAGCCTGACTCACTTGTTCTGTAGTGCACCTCCTGTGACCCTGTGAACATTTACTCATTCCTCAAGGCAAATGCTAGCTATCTCTGTGATGCTATCCTTAATGATTCTTCCTCATAAACCACACTGCCCTCCCTGGAATTCAATGTTTCCTCCTGAAGCTAATGATGTTTCTCTTTGCACCTTATTTTTGCACTTAGTTATTGTGCTTGAAATGTCAGTTTTAGGAGTCCAAGCCTACCTTCACCTACCATAGAATCTCCAAGGGCAGAAAACGGGCTTTATTTCTTTCTATAGCCAACCTAGTTAGATCTCCAATGCTAAGCAGCTAACCAAGTACCTTTTACACAATAAATGCTTATTAAGTTGATCTAAGTTTGAGGAGAGATTTTTATCCATAGCTCATATCAGTCTTAAAATTATAACTTCTATCAGAATTATAATCAAAAGTATAGTGATTGACCAAAATTTGTCAAACAATTCTGAGCCCCAAACAGTTACATACTTACATTCACTAGAAGAGAAAAATCAGTGACCAGTTGGCTAAGTTCAATTAAGTCCTAAAGAAAAAAAGGAGAGAGGAAATTACTTATTTTTATTCCTCATAATTACTAAGAAGAAAATAATTTGGGGAATTGGAGAGATAGTTCAGCAGTTAAGAGCACTAACTGCTCTTGCAGAGGACCCAGGCTCAATTCCCAGCACCCATGTGAAGGCTAACCACCATCTGTAACTCCACTTCTAGGAGATCCGACACCCTTTTCTGATTTCCATGGGCATTTACACACATGGGTGCACTTACTTACAAGTAGGCAAAACACTCATACACATAAAATAAAAAAAGAAAATAATTTTTAACATACTGTTTCTAGGGTGTCCCATGACTCAGCAGCATTTTGATCTCGAGGAATTTCAGGCAATGCATATGTCTGAGTCAAACTCTGAGAGCCAACTTCAGCTTCTGTAGTGTGGAATGCTCCTGGGTGAACACAGACCTGTTTAGAGTTTGCTTTTCAAAAAGGATACAATATGAAGCATTCCACAGAACAATTGGCTTGTGAAATGTTTACTAATTAAACTCAAGCTAAAAGTAAATTGATAATTCTATAAAAACAGATTACATATCCCCTGTTCGTTACTGCATGCTTTCCCTCTGTCTACAAAATCATCTAAACACGAACTATTCACACTATCTATGCAATCTGAATAACAAGAGGAATTATTTCATTTGGCCAATATTCCACTAAGACATACGTGGTACAAACAGGTTTGATATGTCCCAGTGCTAAATTCTTAAACTTGTATTTGACTATTTTAGAAGTAAGTATAAGTACACAAGGTGTTGAAAGTAGGAAAGTGGGGCCATTGACATGGTTCAGCAGGTAAAGGTACTTGTCACACAAGCCTGACTACACAAGCTCAATCTCCACAACCCATGCAAAAGTGGAAGGAGAGAAGCAGTTCCATAATGTTATCCTCTGACCTCCACACAAATATGGCATGTGCACACCCACATTCACATATCATATATACTCATAGTAAGTAAGTAAGTAAGTAAATAAATAAATAAATACATTTTAAGTAGGGAAACATGGCTGGTACTCAATGGTAGAGCACTGGCCTAGTGTGCCTGCAGCATACTAGTAAAGCAGGAAGTGATGTGATGTGTTTTCACAATTTACATCAGCCTCTATTAGCAGCAGTCTTGTAACCATTGAGCACATTAGCTATATGAATACTTTTCATACATGTTGTCACTCTTAGAGTCATTCTTCTGCCACATATTTCAACAGTTTCTTCTGCTTTTTTTTCCTGGTTTTTAAAAAGCCTTCAACCCACAAAAGATTACTCATTAAACACTACTGCAATGACAAGGCAAAACTAAGACAACTTTAAAAAATCCACCTTTCTAAGCCTTTCTCATGTCCTCATGCTGGTTCACCAATCTTTCATTCATGCAGCTGACACACTGCTTAGGAACAGAAAGATGTTCAGCTTATCTAATGCATAGACTGTGGTGAATGTGCTGGAGTGCTGGTTAGATTTTGTCAGCTTGGCACAAACTAGAGATGACTATGAAGAGGGAACCTTAATTGAGGAATTTCCTCCATTGGATTGGCCTGTGGTCATTTCTACGAGGCATTTCTTAAATTGATAATTGATGTAGGAAGGCCCAGTCCACTGTGGGCAGCACCATCTCTAGGGCAGGTAAGCCTGGGCTGTATAAGAAAGCTGGCTGATAGCATTTATAGTGCTGGAAGGTGCTATGCATGCTACCGGAAGGAAAAAATAATCACCAACCCTATCCAGCTGTGAATTCTGTGAACTACAATAACAACTGGCAAGGTATGCCCACCAGTGCAACAGTGGCACTAATATTATGGGACTAACCAACTACTCTTTATTGATTTAAGGTCCATTTCATAGGATGGAGTCCATACCTGACACTGATATCAGGCTTAGGAACCCGAGGCTAGACAGGTCACAAGACATAGGAGAGAACCCAATACTAGTTTTCTATTAAATAGTTATATTAAACTGACTCCTAATAACTTAATGTTATACCCATAGATTAATGCATCTCTCAACTCTCACCAGAGAAGTTTCCTTATGCAGCAGACAAATGGTGATTAACACAGATACGCACTACTGGCCAATATGCAGAGAACAAGAGGCTGCAGAGTACTAATTCCTGAATAAGACACCTATATCAAACTTCTGCCTCTTAAGGTTCAGGGATCATTGCAGAAGAGCAGGCAGAAACATTGTTAAAAGCCAGAGGTGGTGGATGACCACAAGGAAACAGTTTTCCAGACACCTGGTCAGTTAGTTATATGAACTCACAGCAATGGTGACAGCATGCACAAGGCCCATGCAAACTCAAGCCAGACAAAATCCCAGCATAGGCATGAAGTGGGTAAGAAACTCTAACTCAACCTAAGGAAACTGAAGCAACAAATGGCTGCTGGGAGGGGTAGAGACAGTCTCTTTCGAGGATAGGACTCTTGGTCGGTTAACCAGGCTCCAGTGGATGGACCCATACTGAAGGACATTTGGGAATGCATTTTAGATGCTAAAGGCCTTACTATATATATAATACAGTGCATTAATTTGGGAGAGGGCAACTAGGGGAAGTATGGGTAGGGGAGGGGGATCTAAATACAATCAAATTATTTTATATGAACATTGAAAAAATTCAGTATTAAGAAATAAAAGAGCAAGTCAGTAAGCAGTTTTTTCCTCAATGGTCTCTGCTTCAGTTCCTAACTCCAAATTCCTGACCTGACTTCCTTCAATGATGGATTTGTAACCTGGAAGTGCAAGAGGAAATAATCCTTTTCTTCCTCCTCAAGTTAGTTTTAGTCAGTGTTTTATTACAGTAACAGAAAAATAAACTAGGACAGTGAAGAAAAAGCAAAGGCTAATAAAAGTATAAGTTGAGGGTGCTCGTGGTATTGTAAAGAATATTCAAGAGCTGTGTCTTTCTCACAAGATCTCTACAGAACTATTAGAGTTAGAGACCAGCAGGAAGTTAGAAGATGCTGTAATCAGATCTGAGCTGTAGTGTGAAGAACATAATAAGGATGGAGCTGACAGGTGAGAAAATTAGAGACTGAAAAATCATTTGGAGACTCTGCAAAATGGCCAGTGCACAGTGATGCTCGTTGGCTCTAAGACAGTAGCAGTGGAGATACAGAGAAGGGACCAGAAGCTCCAGTAGCTTCACTTGCTCTCCTTCACTGCAGGCTCCAAACACCTGCCATTTTACTGCAGCGTCTTCTTTTTGTTCACATTTTATTTAGTGTGGGTTTGCATATGTGTGGGTAGCCTGTGCCACAGCATGAGTGTGACAGAGGACAACTTGTGGGAATCGGTTCTCTCTTACCACTTGGGTCCAGGGATCAAATTCAGGTCATCAGGCTTGGCAGCAGGAGTCTTTACCTAATGAGCCTCCTCGCCAGTCTGACTTTAACATTTTCTGATTACCCATTTATTATGAGTTGTGTTTGGTACCAGATATGAAAGAGTTCTTATTCCCAAAGAACTCATATTCTAGAGGAATTAGACATAAAAAGTGACCATTAAAAACAGACTGTGTTGATAACTATCAGATAAATATAGATATATGTAGTATTTGGCTATTTGGAGGGGTTTCTAAGCTGGGGTGGCATCTGATCCGGCTTGATGTGATAAGTAAGTTTTTATTAGGCTTTCTGGAAAAGTTAGCATTACTGGTAAAGAAGAGAGGAGTATAAATTCTAGATGGAGAAACTGGCATGAGCAAAGGTCCTCAAGAGAGCTGTAATACAGCTAAGATAAAATCATCAGCTGGCATTATCAAACCATGAAGTAATGCACGGAGGTACTAGTGTAGGACACTGTAGATAAGAGAAGGGGCCTTATTGACCAGGTAGATTTGGGCTTTATCTGAAAGACAACAGAAAGTTGCTGAGGGGGTTATCAGTGGGTTTGAAATGACACTTGTGGCTTGACCTACTCCTGCAGTCATTACAAAGGTGTACTAATCCTGGCTCCTTTCAATTCTTTTTTCAGCCAAGCCTAAAATTGAATGATATTTTATAAAACTGCATTATCACCTTACCTTCAGAGTTAATGAACACATTACCTCTCAGTGAAAAGCTTGTTGAAACTGTTTAGAAAGGCACAGTCAGGTAACTAAAAGGTGACATGCAAATTTATCAGAATTGACAGTAGTCTTTCAATTCTCAACTTGATTTATTAAAATATATATATATATACACAAATCTATACTTGTGCTGGGATTATAGGTGTTTATCGCCTCACTCAACTAGCGCACATTTTTTCATAATATGTTTTTATCTATTTTTAGAATATTTTAAATTTATTATTTGACAATTTCATACATGCATACAATCACATCCAACTCATGTCCCTCTCCTACTCTCCGGGAACCCCCAATACTTCTCCCTCCCATCTTCATGTTCTTTTTTTCCTTTTCTAACTTACTGAGTCCAATTAGTACTGCCTGAATGTGCATGGGTATCTTTATTTTTAACAAAGGAAGAGCAAAAACAGATACAGAGAAAGCTTAAGTTTTATGTTACAACATTATGCTAAATAGCAAATGTTCTAAAAGTTCTCAATGATTTTAAATGCTTCCATTTTCACTTCAACCAAGATAAGTAAAGCCAACTTCTGACCTTCCTTCCACTTAATAAAGCTATGTACTGATGATAACTTCCCTGTCAGTATCAGAGCAAATGTAAGCAGAGCTTTGTAACTGTGCCTACTTTGAAGATTTTTTATTCTATTAAAGAGAATTCAAATGAAATATGTCAGGGTCTACAGAATTAGAAGAGTTTATCATAAATAAATTCTTTATCTAAAAATTGTGAATGGGGAGTATTTGACATTTTAAATAAACATAAAAGATTTCCAGTAATAAGAAATAAATGTTTAAGTCATCTCCGTCTCACTTGAAACCAAACTACGTATGTGTCTTAGTTCAAATAAAGTCTTAGAACAAAGCATCCTTTTGTCTTCTATGAAAACCTTGTTAATTTACAACTCTAAACATCACGAATCAATTCAAGGCATGACTGTCAATTAAGAAAGAAATCTTTTCATTTCTATAATGTCCACAGTCTGTACCTCAGTGCTTACCCTTTGACTATGAACTCTTACAAACTGCTAAAGGTCTATGTGTATGACCACTGTTTTTCAAAGCCTAAAACTGGATTTACTGGCCATACATTCAAATAGGCATCAACAGCTGACTCACTGGTTGAAGTAAATAAACTAATAATATTCTGTCCCTCTCTCTTCATCTATGCATTATGAACTGCAAAGATTCTACCAAGGCTAATACACAGGAAATGACCAATAACCTTTGCTACATTAGGAAATGTTTCACTACAAATCTAAATTAATTCAAGAGCATTCCTTAATTTTTTTCTAGTTCTGACACCTTAAAAAATCTACTTATCAGCATCTGACATAAGCTTACCTATCAAAGTAAAATGATTTCTAGGTCATAACAGAGGAAGACAGATTAAAATCAATGGGGACGGTGTCCTCCGAATAATATCATAAAAACAAGCTACGTGTTTCAGAAATTGTTCTCTGTATGTGTATACCTGAGATAAAAATCTAGTATTTCATCTAGTATTTCTAGTATTTCTTAAATTCCCAGCAGTTTCATGATTGGATTCTTTTCTCCTGTGACTATTTGCCTGAAATGTAGCAAAATTTCATTTCTGCTGTGCTGAAGTATGGAGAGTAAAGGAAGACAAAAACTGAAGAGAAGCACCAGATTTCCCTGTGTGATTTGAATCACCTTTCTAAATACAATCAGATTATGGGGTCCTCATTTGTCTTTGGTGGGGATCAACAGGGTAAAAATGGAAGCTGACACAATGAGGCAGAAGGGATCTCAGATCAAGCGGGTCTGGAGAGATTCACTTGGGAACTCTCAGAATCTGAACAAAAGAAATAGCAATAGCATCACAGCTTCCCCCAAACTTCATAAGTTTACCTCATTTACTAGAGAACATAAAATGCCAGAGTCTACTCATTATTTCCATATGGAAATGAAAAACTATTTTTGTATTTTTTATCTTACTCATGGAAAAGTGGCAAGATTGCTCTGGAATCTACTGATGTTTCTAATCAATTTATTTAGAATCAGATTTATAAAGGAGAAAGTATTCTAAGGCACTTAACTTGCATGCATGTAACACATTTCTCTGTATAGGCTGTCACCTCTATAATGGGTATGCAAAGCAAAAATAAGGAGAAACTAGAGTGCACAGGAGTAACATAAGAGTCCCAGCTGGTAGACAGCCATAGGACCCAACTCAATCCCACTCCACCTCAAAGCCTAGGAAAGTCCCTTGCTTGCATTCTTTTCATTGTTCTTCTCCTTTTTTTTTTTTTTTTTTTTTTGTCTTTTTGAGACAGGGTCTCCCTGTAGCCCCAGCTGTCCTGGAACTCACTATGTAGACCAGGCTGGCCTTGAACTCACAGAGATCCGCCTGCCTCTGCCTCCCAAGTGCTGGGATTAAAGGCATGTGCCACCATGCCCAGCCGTTCTTCTCCTTTTTAATCATGCTCTGGACTTTAGGCAATTGAGCAGAAGCTCATGCTTGGTGAAACACTCAGGTGCTGCTGAGATAGTGATTTCAATGCTTTTTAGGCAGTATAATCTAGTCAGAAAGCTCTACCCTGCATTAGATGTAGCTTACATATGTGATTTTATAAATAGAATGGCCATCTTCACCAAATCAGCACTAGTTTCAGAGATTTCATTTTGTGGTTTATCTCCCAGTGGCAATCATTAGATGGTTAGCCTAAATGATATCCCATGAATTGAAAGGTTGGGGAGAATCAATCAAATTGAAAATTAATTTCACCTGCTATTTCTTCTCCCTCATCTTCTGTCTTGGTCTTATTTTTTTTCATTTCTTTATTTCACATTCTTCCTCAGATTCTGCCCATCCTAGATTCCACACCAGCCTTCTGTTTACAGAGAAAGCTAATTGCTGGGGAATAGGTGATCACCCATTTCCTACAACGATATATAAACTCAAGTATGCTGAACACAAATAGGTGTACTTGTAGAAATACACAGCACAATGATAAAAATGCACACTAAAGAAAGTATTACATTATTATTGTGAGGAAAATTGAGTTCTTGGACAGAACTCATATATTTTGCTTCATAGGGAAACACTAGTGATGGGTAATTTGAAGGTAAGAGATCCAGTTATCTTCACAATTATCATGGCCACCACCATGGTCACAATGTTTAGGTATACAAGGTAGCCCATTCACACACAGAAGTGGAAGCCCAGTTTCTCTACCTATGCACAAATGGCATCAGCATGTACTCCGTGGTAAGAGCAGACATCCTCTGTACCAGTACAGTGGTGATAATGGCAGTTGACTCAATAATGAAAACAGTAAGGACAAACTATCAAAAGCATGACTCCCAAATATTCTTCAACAAAAAGCTCAGTGCTAACATCTCCTTAAAACATTTTAGGGCTGGTCACACAAAGTGAAGGGACTGAAGCACATATTTTTTGTTTGTTTGGTTTGGTTTTAAAATATTTTATTATTTTTCTTTTTCTTTTTTTTTTTTTTTAATGTGTATGAGTGTATTGCCTGCATGTATGTGAATGCACCTGTGTCGTGCAATGCCGCGGAGGTCAGAAGAGGGCTTTGGATTCCCCTGGAACTGGAGTTAAGGGCGGTTTGTAGCAGTGATGTGGGTGCTGGGACTCGAACCCAGGTCCTCTGCAAGAGCAGTCAGTGCTCTTAACCGCTGAGCCATCTCTCCAGCCTGTTTGGTTTGGTTTTAAAAGAGTAGCCTAGGCAGGCCTTGAACTTGTTACGTAGTTGAGGATGACATTGAACTCCCAGATGGCCATCCTACCTCTACCTCCCAAGTGCTGGAATTACAGGCATGTGCCATCATGCCCAGCTCTACTTCAGCACATCTGAAACTGTACCTTAAAAGATTATTTCTGCCGGGCATGGTGGCACACGCCTTTAATCCCAGAACTTGGGAGGCAGAGGCAGGCGGACCTTTGTGAGTTCGAGGCCAGCCTGGTCTACATAGTGAGTTCCAAGACATCTGGGGCTACAAGGAGACCCTGTCTCAAAAAGAACAACAACAACAAAAAACCCCAAACAAAACAAAACAAAACAAAAAAAGATTATTTCTATCCACAAAACATAAGTGGCTCACCATATGCAAAGCATTGTGTTAGGTACTAAGGCTGCCACAAAAGCAAAGTTACCCAGAAACTGCATGGTTGCCTAAATGTTTCTTTATTCCCTTGCAAATTACTGAATCATTAGCATTGAAAATGTAAACATTTAAAATAATCTGGATTTGGAGATAGGGACTAGAAGAGTGCCCTGGTAAACAGACAAAAGGGGGGGGGCAGGTGCAACATCTATTTGAATTTCTAATGTATTTATAGCCCATCTTTTTTTAATAAGGATTAAAAGTATCTTAAGACATATAACATGTAATGAGATGGAATAAATTTAAAATAAAAGATAAACAATTACAGAAAAGGAAACAAAGGCTGCAGTTACAAAATAAAGCCAACAACTTTACAATTTTAATTTTTGCTGCTTTTGGCTTTATGCTCTCTAGAAGACAATGCAGTTAGGGAAACCGTATCAATGATTCTACTCACTACCTTAGGATAAAAAACAGAGTGGGGGGGGGGTGCTGGAAAGTTGGCTCAGTGGTTAAGAGCACTGGCTGCTCTTGTAGAGGACCCAGGTTCGATTCCCAGCACCCACATGGTAGCTAACAACTATGCATAACTCCAGTTCCAGGGGAATCCAACACCCTCTTCTGACCTCCTGAATAGACCACCCTGCATTAGAGTAAGTGAGGTGTATACTACACATGAGGATGACATTATCTTTAAGAAATAATTAAAAATTTTTCAGTACATGAACAAGCAGGTACTTGATGCCCCAAAGTTCCAATCCATACAAATTTATCTTGCAAAGTTTCCAGGGTACACATTTCCAGGCCACTTGGGGTGTCAGCAAACTGGCCTATCAGGACTTATAAGGAAGGACGACCTCTCTTCCACTCTACCTGATGAGGTGAGCTTAGTTAACTGTGCATAGTCAACATAAGACTTAGTGCAATACATTACCACCAACAGTCATGGATCTGGTCAGAGAAGGCTGCAATAAAGCTTCTTCATCATTAAATTGTTTCTTAAGTTCTTCAACTGATTCCAAATGGAGTTGGAGAAATTCTGCTGTTGCTGCTGCTGCTGCTTCCTTGACAGGATCTATCATTCTCTTCAGAAATACCAGATCATTTTTATGGACTTTCAAGCAAAGCTTCTCCATTTCTCGGATATTGGAGCGCAGTTGCTATAAATGGAAAAAACAAAAACAAAAACATCACCACCATCTTTCAGTATGAAACCTATTTCTTTTCTGAAGTAATTTGCTATGATGGCTGTGAATGTAAATGATTACAAATTGTCTACAACAGAATGTAACATAAATCCAGCATATTTAGAACTCATGTCCTCAAACTTTGAATTTGTGTAGTAATTTTCCTTTATTACATGTGACTATTACACAGTAAATGCTATGTAACTAGTATTTAGCTTGGGGGGCATACATGATGGAACTAAAATATTCTAAGGTATGATCTATATTGCTAAGTCAAGGATGCATGTTATAAGTTCTAGTAAACATATATAATTCCAAAGCTAGTAAAATAAAAATGGAGTTGAAAAAAAGAATCAAAAAGCAGAAAAAGAAAGTACACAATAGAGTGGAAGATAAACATCACCAATTACATTAAATGTAAATGAGACAAATATTCATTGTAAAATGAAGATTTTTCAGACAGGATGTAAAAGCAAAAGAGTATTTAAAACATAAATACAAAATGGTTCAAACTAAAAGAGTAAAATAAATAATAAATAAATAAATAAATAAATGGCCATGTAAACCCTAACATCCTTCCTCCCCAAAGGAAATTTGCTATAGCAATACTACTATCAGAGAAAATAGAGGTTAAAGCCAAAACATTACCAGAAATAAGAATCACTTTATAATGATAGTGTCACCAAAAATACATGATTCTAAAGTCAAGTGTAGCTAATAACATAGAATACATGTAATACAAAAGCTGAAAGAATTACAAAGAAAATTTTAATACTGTCTTTTCTGTACGTATATATGTAAACATGCATGTTTACATGTGCATGAGTACATGTGGGGACCCAAAGCTGATGTTGAATGTCTTCCTAACTTGCTCTCCACTTCATTTTCTGAGGCAGGTCTCTCACTGAACCTGGCACTCCCTGACTCCAGCTATCCTAGCTGGATGGCTTGTTCTGGGCATTCCCTGTCTCTGCCTCCAGAGTGCTGGGGTGACAGGTGGCCACCAAGCTGGTCTGGCTTTTATGTGAGTTCTGGGTATCTGAACTCTAGTCCTACTTATGTGGCAAGAGTTTTATGCACTGAACCATCTCCCAGGTAATTTCTAGAACAAATGTAAAAGAATATGTTAGGTATAGAATATTTGAACAAGAAGATTAACACAGCCTGATATGTTACATAGCCCAACAAACTGAGAATATATATGTAAAAACCAGAAAATGTTTACACAGTTGATTATATATTGAGTTGTAAAGCAATTTTCTCAAATTTCAAAAATACATCATACAGAACATACTCTGACCATAATTAAGTTAAATTTGAAACCATTAATAGAAATACATCTACATATACTGTGTATAAAAGGAAAAAAAGATGCTTCTAAGTAATCCAAAGGTCAAAGAAGAAATCACAATAGAAATAAAAGACCCTATGACCTGAATGTGAAAAAAGTAATACATATTAGAACTTATAGTCCCCTGCAAAACATCAGTTATGGGGCTAGAGAGATGGCTTAGTGATTAAGAGCAACGGCTGCTCTTCCAGAGGACCTGGGTTCGATTTCCAGCACCCACATGGAGGCTAACAATCATCTGTAACTCCAGTTCCAGGGATCTGATACTCTTTTGGCCTCCTCAGGCTTTGCATGACATGGGTGCACTTACATACATGCAGGCAAAACACTCATACACATAAAAATAAATAGAGAGATGGCTCAGCAGTTAAGAGCACTGACTGCTCTTGCAGAGGACCTGGGTTCGAGTCCCAGCACCCACATGGCGGCTATAAAGAGTCCTTAACTCCAGTTCCAGGGGAATCCGAAGCTCTCTTCTGACTTCCACAGCACTGCATGATATGGGTGTACTCACATACATGCAGGCAATACACTTGTACACAAAAAATAAAAATGATAAATAAAAATATTAAAAAAATAAATTAATTAGATGTTAGTTAGAAATTAACATCTCTAACTACATATACATTAGGAAAGAAAAGCTAGGCAGTCCCTAGGAGCCACCATGAGAAGGGTCTAACTTTTTCTTTCAAATGCTGGCCAGAGCCTAAGTATGCTAAGTATCCCTAACACTTTGGGCTTCCTTAATCTTTCTCTGAAGCGCCCTGCCCTGCCTGCTGCCATGTGGCTAATCTCCATGCTGGTTTATTCTCCTCCCACCTCTGGGCAGCTGGAGATTGGAGATTTACAGCTTGCCTGCCCTGGTTTTTTTTTTTTTTTTTTTTAATTCTAGTGAGTTTTCTTCAAACTTATGTTTGGAAGAAAAAAAGAAAAAAGAAAAAAAAAAGAAAGGCTAGAAATTAACAAGCTAAATATCCATCTCAAGAACACAGAAAATACCAAAAGTTTGTACAAATGTGGAAAGGAGAAAATGACAAAGGTGTGAATAAAGGTAATGAGACAGAAAAGCAGGAACACAGCAGATAACAAAACCAAAATTTATTCTGGAAAAAGAAATAGTTTTAAAAGCACTTTCATAAGAAGTATTTTAAAAATTAAAGACACTAGTAACCAAAATCAGAAACAAATAGGGGATACCTTGCAAAATCAAAAAAATAAGATATTGTGAACAAACTTATGCCACTAAATTAGCAAAGTTAGACAAAATGGATAAATACCTACAAAACTGTAATTTACCAAACTTGGAAAAAAATAGAAACCCAAATAATCGCATAACTACTAATTTTATTTTTGTTTATTTGTTTTGGTTTTTGAGAGAGGGTCCAATACAGTCCAGGATGGCCTCAAATTTCCTGTGTAGCAGAGGGTGCCCTTGGCTCCTGAGCTTCCTGCCTTCATCTCCTGAATGCTGGGATTACAAGCATGTGTCAGCGTGCCCAACTACTACTAAATAAATTAAATGCAAAATTTTGAAACTCTCCTATCTTCTCCCTCTCCCTGTGTAAAGCCACAATCAACCAATTAAAAAAAAAAATAAATTGTGTCACTAGCCAATTCTACCAAATATTTATGAAAAATAACACAAATTCTTCAAGGGAGCAAAGACCATGTTCTGATTCTTGGTAGCAGAACCTTGACACCAAAATTCAACAAGGAAAGTAACGAAAACGAAATATCCACACCAGACTCAGGTGCGCTCATCAACAAACCAGTGCCAGAAATTTAAGTCTAGCAGCATACAAAAGTACAGCAATAGTAGTTAGGGATGGATTCCGTTCAAAAGGTGGGTTGGAAGTCTATTCTTATTGACAACAACAGGTAAATCAATGACAGGTATATCTCAAAGATATATTCTGTTTAGTTCAATCTCTATAATGTTCTGAAGCAAGTTAAATTAAATTGCTGTCTTTCTAAAAATATGTTTTATTTATTATTTTTATTTTATGTGTATGAGTGTATTGTCTGCATGTATGTGAGTGCACCCGTGTTGTGCAATGCCGTTGAGGTCAGAAGAGGGGTTAAGATTCCCCTGGAACTGGAGTTAAGGTAGGCTCATAGCCATCAATGTGGGTGCTGGGAATCAAACCCAGGTCCTCTGCAAGAGCAGTCAGTGTTCTTAACCGCTGAGCCATCTCTCCAGCCCCTAAACTGCAGTCTTAAGGACACATTTTGGTGGTAAAACTATGATGAAAAGGTAAAAGTATTCACCACCAAAGTCAAGGTGGTGATTCCTCTAGTGAGGGGACAGGTGGTTGTGACTGAGAAGAGATCACAGGGCCTTCCAGAATGCTGACAGCTGTCTATTTCTTAATCTGAGTAGTGGTATATAAGTACCGACAATAAAATTACTTAGGAGTATATATTTGGTATAAGTATTCTATAGCACATATAGTTTAAAAAAATTTATTTCTGGTCTTTTTGAGACAGGGTCTCCCTATAGCTCCAGCTGCCCTGGAACTCACTATGTAGACCAGGCTGGACTTGAACTCACAGAGATCCGCTTGCCTCTGCTTCTCAAGTGCTGGGATTATAGGCGTACGCCACCAGGCCCGGCAAAATTTTTAAGTTTAATACTTTTAGAAAAGAATTTTACATTGACCTAAATAATCAACTAGCCTAAGGGCAGAAATATGGTTGAAAACATCTGAGTGGGGATAAAAGGAGTCAAGATCTAACTGTGGAAGTGAATTCATTACTTGCATGTGGAATCTTTCTCCTTTCATTAAGTAGAAGAAATAATGAAAGAAACGACTTCTTTGGGGTGAACTCTGACATATCAACATAAAATAGTAAGGTGGACATGAGCCCTGTGAGAAAGCACGTGTCACCTAGGAGTTATTAATAGTCAGCAAAGGGAATACTGCAATTAGTGACTCCTTGGCAAAGTCAGTTAATCAGATTTAAAGAAAAAAGCCATATGATGCCATTGCATAAATTATATTGCAATAAAACTTTTTTAAAGAGACAGTCTAAAAAATGAATTTCTAACACTATAAAAGAAATAAATCTCTTAGAAAGAGAAATAACCATGAGGCTTTTCTAAGTAATAAAAACCACAGCGTGTTGTATGAAAAAAAATAATAAATCTCAATTAAGAAAACAAAAATAACATCTAAGGAATCAAATACGGCATGTAAGGAATGCTAAGGGAAGTTCAGAGTTTGAGACACTTACCAGTGGGGGAAGAGGATTAAAGGGAGGGCAACCGAACACAGAAGCAAGGAGAACCGTGCAAGTAAAGGGCCGGAGTGCGTGAAACAAAAAAAAGGACATAAAAGACATGTGTGGCAAGAACAGGAAAGGCCCGGCCAGTACTTCAGGTACAATGCTAACAGATGCGCCGAAAGCAGAACCACTTACTCATGCTTTGCTCTGATTCTGTACAAAGGAAAAATACAAATTGAAAGGGAATAAGAAGCATGCCAAAAGAAAGTTTGAAGTGCAAATTGCTACAGAGATCTGGATAGGTTTCATGAGGGGGAATAGATTGAAGTTGTCTGGAAAATATTTTGAGGCAAATAGGACATATAGAATAGAAAGAATAGACAGAAACTCAAAGCTT